CAAAGGAGGCAAAAAATACACTGAAATAATAGTTTGTTCAATACATGGTACTGGAAAAATTGGACATGCAAAAAAATGAAACTAGACCACCTTACACCATACATAAGAATAAAATTGATTAAAGACTAGCCTGGCTGGTATGACTCAGTAATTGAGCATCGACCCATGAACCAAGAAGTCATCAGTTCAATTCCTGGTCAGGACATACGCCCAGGTTGTGGGCTTGATCCCCAGTGGGGCATGTGCAGGAGGTGGCCAATTGATTTTTCTCTCTCATCAATGTTTCTATCTCCCTATCTTTCTCCCTTCCTCTCTCTCTAAAAAGTCAATAAAAACATATTTTTAAAAGGATGTTAGACATGAAACCAGAAAAAATCCTGGAAGAAAACATAGGCAGTAAAATCTCAGACATTTCTCATAGCAATATGTTTTTCTGATATATCTCGTCAGGTAAGGGAAACAAAAAAAAATAAATAAACAAATTGGACTACATCAAACAAAAGATTTTGTACAGCAAAGGAAACCATCAACAAAATGAAAAGACAACCCACTGAATGGTAGAACATATTTGCCAGTGATATATCTCATAAGGGATTAATATCTAAAATTTATAAAGAACTTATAAAACTCTACATCAAAAAAACCCCCCCAAACAATCCAATTAAAAAATGGGCAGAGGTCCTGAATAAATACTTCTCCAAAGAGGACGTACAGATGTCCAATAGACATATGAAAAGATGCTCAGTGTCATTAATCAGAGAAATGAAAACCACAAGATATAACCTCACACTTGTCAGAATGGCTATCAATAAATCCCCAAACAAGTGTGGCGAAGATGTGGAGAAAAGGGAACCCTTGTGCATTGTTGGTGGGAATGTAGATTGGTGCAGCCACTGTAGAAAGCAGTATGGAGTTGCCTCAGAAAATTTTAAATGGAACTGCCTTATGACCCACAAGTTTCATTTCTGGGAAACATTTGCACCCCTATGTTCACTGGAGTGTTATTTACAACTAGAGGCCTGGTGCATGAAATTTGTGCACTTGGAGGAGGGGCGTCCTCTCGCAGTCCAGGAGCCCTCGGGGGATGTCCCATGGGGAGCGGGTCTAAGCCGTCAGTCAGACATCGTTAGCACTGCCGTGGAGGCGGGACAGGCTCCTGCCTCCGCCGCTGCGCTTGCCAGCCGTGAGCCCAGCTTCTGGCTGAGCGGCGCTCCCCCTGTGGAAGCGCACTGACCACCATGGGGCAGCTCCTGCATTGAGCGTCTGCCCCCTGGTAGAGCGCATCATAGCGACCAGTCGTTCCACTGTTTGGTCGATTTGCATATTAGCCTTTTATTACATACTAGAGGCCCGGTGCACAAAAATTTGTGCACTTGGGGAGGGGGGAGTCCCTCAGCCCAGCCTGTGACCCCTCGGGGGATGACCACTTGCTGGCTTAGGCCTGCTCCCCGTGGGATTGGGCTTAAGATGGCAATCAGACATCCCTATGGCAGCCCGGCAGCCCTCGGGGGATGTCCACTTGTCAGCGGGGAGCAGACCTAAGCTGCAGTCAGACATCCTTAGCGCTGCTGAGGAGGCAGGAGAGGCTCCCACCACCACCACTGTACTGGCAGCCATCAGCCTGGCTTGTGGCTGA